CTCCATTATTACATTCCAATCGTGGGACTTATCCCACCAGGTTTCAGTGATGCCTATTATGTCATATTTAGTTTGCTGTACCAAGAGCTCAAGCTCATCTTGTTTATTTCCCATGCTTTGAGCATTGGTGTACAGACATTGAAGTCCATTAATCATTCCCCCGTGTCTCTTATTTAAGGATTTTTTCCTCCCACCACTAGGTCTGCATGCTGTTTGCTCCATTCGGTCTATGACATTTGGATGATCATCTTCATCAATTGATAGACTCCTACCTTCAGGTGCACTGTCTCCCTCCCCCACATTAGTCAGTTTAAAGCCCTCCTGATGAGGTTTCTGAGATTTTTGGCAAAAACATTCCTCCCAACCGCTGTGAGGTGCAGCCCATCACTTGCCAGAAGTCCATCTTCAAGAAACTGCAGTCCATGATCTAAGAATCCAAACCGTTCCTGTTTACACCATTTGCGAAGCCAGCTGTTCACTTCCACTATTTTTCCCTCTCTCCCTGGGCCACGTCGTTCAACTGGGAGGACAGATGATATGACAATTTGTGCATTTAATTGCTTCAATTTCCTGCCCAGAGCCTCGTAGTCTCTTTTGATCTTCTGGAGGCTATTGCTTGCAGTGTCATTGATTCCCACATGAACCAAGAGGAAGGGGTATTTGCCAGTGGGTTTTATGATTCCTTGCAGTCGTTCAGTTACATCTTGGATCTTAGCCCCGGGGAGACAGCACACCTCCCAAGACATCTTGTCAGGCCCACAGATCACTGCTTCTGTTCCCCTCAGTAGGGAATCCCCTATCACCACTACACGCCTCCTCTTAGGTTTGGTTGGGATTCTTCCGTGAGCTGTCCATTCCAAGGTCGCCTGCACATTCCCTGAGGACTGACTTTGCTGCTCGTCTTCATATACCCGATCAACTGTAATGAGGGAGAGATCCTCAAATGGAGTCCGTTCTTCGTCTTCCATGCTAGGGGAGAGGACTTCAAAGCGATTGTGTATTTCTAAACAATCAGAGCGAACCCTGGGCCTCCTACTTCTTTGAGTCACGTTTCTCCATATATCTGGCACCTGTGTTGGTGAACTAGCCTCCTTCTCAGGGGTGTCCCCTGTCTCCTCCTTGGTGGAGACAGTGTTCTCTGTTGCTTCCAAGAAGAGCTCCAGCTCTCTAATTCTTTGGAGCGTAGCTACACGTTCCTCTAGTTGATGGACTTTGTCTTTTAAGAGGGCAATCAACATACAATTGCTGAAGGTAAAGCTGCCTGCAACCTTTGGCAAGATGGCAAACATTGCGCAGGAACCGCAGGCGACTGCAGCTGTTCCCTCACCCTCCATCTTGAAAACGTGTCGTTGGGGGTGGCTACAGTGGTCCTCCATCTTAAAAAGCGTGAAGACAGGACAAATAACCCCCCTAAAAAAAACCCCTAGGTCTCCCCCAACAAACGTTTGAGACTAGCTCCCCTAAATCTGAAAGATGGATTAAACTGCGCGCGCCTAGCGCCGCTGCCCTACAAGCTCCCACATGACATTTATGTACATCGAATGGATTTAAGAATTTATGTATTGATTCCAGAGGTTACATCTCATGAATAAGGAACTCTAAAAAGGTAACAAGATTAAATACATGTAGTATTGTTTAAACCCTTCAAACTTATGGCTGATATTTTTCTTCTAGGGAGCAGATTAAAGACGTATACTATGATAACTGTTCTGTATTTCTGCTTTGGTGTCATTGATAGTAGGATTTATTACCTAAAAGATAAATGCAACACTTTTCCCAGGCTATATAGATGTAGTTAGATGTGTCATTAAACAAAGTTAACTATCATATAATAAAACCAAGGCCACTAAAATAACACAGTAGAGCTGGCATGATACTATCAGCAACAATAAATATATTCTGTTAAATTTTAATGTGTTAAGTAACTAGATAAAAATCTCAAACATTAACCAAGCTATCAACAACAACAAAAAGCCATACACGGTCCCCATTACCCATTTACTTGAAATTTGCACTGAAAATACAGAGTACTGCTAGGTTGGCAGGAGTAGGGACCGAACAATGCCTGTTTTCTGGTCGTGGGAGTGAAGCTGGAAAGGGTGGAGCACACTTTGGGGCTCCCCAGATGCATCTTGGATGGTGCACCTGAGCAATGAGAAATGGTGCTAAGGCCAGACAACAGCTACCATATTGGCCCAAATATAAGCCGCACCTGCAAATAAGCCGCAGCTTTAAAATTCAGGGGGGGGGGGGGAGAGAGAAAAAATACCCGAAGGCGCTCCCTTAAAATTTCACAGGCAATCACATCGGAAAATGGCAAATGTAGAAGAAAATCCTACGGGTACTAAAGAGGACCCGTAGTATGTCCCTCGGGTAGGACGGGTGCCACTTCACCACGCTCCTGGTGCCGCTTGCCACGCTCCTGGCTGCATGCTGGGCAGGGGGAGCCACACAGCGTTGCTGGTGGTTTTCCCCCTTCCCAACCTGGGGAGAGAGGACTAGGGACTGCATGCAGGGCGGGCGCCGCTTCCCCATGCTCCTGGCAGTTTGCCCGCAACCCCGGCTGCATTCTGGGCGGGGGGGGGGGGCTGCGTTGCTGATGGCTTCCCCCTTCCTGGCCTTGGGGGAGAGGACGTAGGACTATGTGCGGGGCAAGCGCCGCTTTCCCATGCTCCTAGTGTGTTTGTCTTGTGCTGCTGGCTGCATACTGGACGTGGGAGGGGAGCCTTCCCCCTTCCCTGCTTCCTCGCTTTCCCGGCCGGAGGGGGAAGGGCGGGGAAGCTGTGGGCAGGGGCTGATTCCCCGCATTCCTGGCAGCATCACGGGCTGAGGGGAAACCGTGCCACGGTGCCGGCGGTCTTCCCCCTCCCCCACGTTCTTTCCTAACCAGCTTTGGGGGAGGCTGGGGGAGCTGTGGACGAAACGGGACGGGAGCGATATCGTAAAAGCCCATTTTTGTCAGGTCATGAATTTAAGCCGCACTTTAACTTTTCATGGTCAGAATTTGGGGGGGGGGGGAGTGTGGCTTATATTCGGACCAATCTACAATGCCAAAGATGCCCTAAGTAAAACAGCTACTACTTGAGGCTCTTTCAGGGGAAAATGAAGACAGAGACTCTGAGTGCATGCTCCTGAAGTTCAAAGAGGAGACAACAACGGAGGGAAGGCAAGTTAGGCCTCAATACCCAAACCGTCCATGACAGCTTACCAAACCTACTGCTTACAGAGAATCTTACCAGCAACAAAAAGGAGCTCTTGGAGAGGTCTGGCAATGCTAATATTAGGGAAATATGTTCAATGAGTATTGTGTGGAGTCCAGGTGGTGAGGGGTGGGCATCAAAGGTCTCAGTGGGCTGGGGTACTTTTTCCCAAAGGAAATCTATCTCTGCACAGAAGCCACTGAACAGCCAACTGAATAAGCCTCTGTGGTTTGTGGGATTGGGGCGAACAAAGAGCATTTAACAAAAGGTAACTGTTTACTACAGTAAGCACATAACCACATGGTCACCTGTACTGTCCATCCAGGGTAGAAAGAATTTTACCATTCCCTTGTTCCCCTGGATTTCCGATTGTGTAAAGTTCTCCTCAGTAGTAGGTAGATAATAAAACAGTGTTACAGATAATCAACTACAGTGGTACCTCTGGTTGAGAACTTAATTTGTTCCAGAGGTCCGTTCTTAACCTGAAACTGTTCTTAACCTGAGGTACCTTTTTAGCTAATGGGGCCTCCCGCTGCTGCTGCGCTGCAATTTCTGTTCTCATCCTGAAGTAAAGTTCTTAACCCGAGGTACTACTTCCAGGTTAGCGGAGTCTGTAAACTGAAGCGTTTGTAACCCGAAACGTTTGTAACTCAAGGTACCATTGTACCAATGTGGGTCAGTGTGAATGAGGGCTTGTTAACATCAGGAACTAGTCAATTGCCTGGTAAGCTGTGATAAGGAGGCATCACCGTCATGAAAGTAGGCATGGAAATATTTATAAATTGGAAGTGAACAAATTGTCTTGCCACCTTCCTCACTTCTGATTCACCACAATTGACAGTATATGTGTACATGTGGGCACGAAGGTTAGAGCAATTTTGAAGTCTCGTAATGTTAGTGGACTTTCTAGCAAATTGGCTGTGTCCAGTAAGAGATAAGCTCTGAACAGATGGGAGATTTCCATAGCAAACAAATACGCTAATATTTATATCCTGCCTGACAACCGTCTCCAAGATGGCTGAAAACTAGTGGAAATTAATTTAGAAAATGTAAGATTATTTTTAAAATACAGTGGTGAGTCATGGAAGGCTTTAAAACAGGGGTGGCTCTCCAGATGTTGCTGGACTCCAATCCCCATCAGCCAGCATGTCCAGCGGTCAAGGATGAGGGGAGTTTTGGTACAACAACACCTGGAGGGCTATTTCTGCTTTAATGGAACAGTTACAGAAAATGTTCACTCTTCAGGTCTAAGATATTGTCACTGCCAATATTATAGCTATTTAGCTTACGAAAATAGTTTACTTTTCAAGAGGAGTGGAAAATTTAACAAGATAGTGTTTTTATAGTATTTGAGAAACTAGAAAGCAGCAGCTCTGAAAGAAGTATCTCCCACACAACGAACATTGTAAGTGGATGTAACATTCAAAATGCATTGAGCTTCTAGTCCTCAGTCAAACCTGTTCTTCTGCAGCAAAATGCTGCATGCTGAAAAATTAGTTTGCTTACTGGATCAACAGCAAAGTTTAGCCAATACAACGAAGTAAGTTCAAATCTTTTATCGAGTTTCTCAATGCAAATGGTTAACAAATATTACAAAACCATTTGGAGGGCTACTTCAGAAGAGGAGAAAACAGTACCCACATAAGGCACTGTCAGCAAACAGAAACATTGGTAGTACATATCAGAGAGTGAAGGCCAAAGACTTACTCAAAAGTTATCTATTGGTAGTACACACGACAGAACAAGTTCAATTAAAAATGACTGTAAGTCAGAAATTTGGAGATAATGTTGTTTGCTTACCTACAAGCAGCATTAGGGTTAGCATTTCTTGAGAGAAGCAGTTCTACACACTTTAAAATCTGCTCTTCTGAAGTATGTGCTGTACATGCAGCCATCAATACTGTATATTGATCTAAATGAAAATTATACAAATAACCAATGATTCCTATAATAAAACACAATAACCAGACATCGTAAAAAATAAATGTGCAAAGACCAATGCTCGTTACAAGCACAATACACAGAAAGCACCAACTGCATTTAATTGGAAATGGAGAATTCATAACATTAAATTTGTTCAAGGGAAATTTCCTACTGGTCTCAATTTGAAATTTAAAGTGTAAACTTTAAATGCATATTTAAACTCAACTACAGGTTGCTAGATTTAATACTTATTTAAAACTATGTTCTTTTATTGTACCTGAACAACCATAAATATGTTAAAATACTCCATATAGTTTTTTGTCCTTGTGTTTACAACCAGTTTTGGATAAAATCAGATTTATAGCTTAGAGCAGTGTTTCCCAACCTTGTGCCTCCAGCTGTTTTTGGACTACAATTCCCATCATCCCTTGCCACTGGTCTTGCTAGTCAGGGATGATGGGAGTTGTAGTTCAAAAACAGCTGGAGGCACAAGGTTGGGAAACACTGGCTTAGAGGGTACTCCATTATATGCACTTGTTAGATAAGCAGGTAGCATCAGTGTCGAGAGGTGCCTCTTTCCAGCTTTGGCTGGTTTTTCAACACCCCTTCCTAATGAAATGAAATTTTCCAAATATTTCTGATATGTGTGTTTTTAAGTTACAGCACTCAAGACTCCTTGAACTGCTGTCATTTTCAATGCCTACTTCTGCCCCTTCCCCATTTGGGCAATCAAACTTTTTCACCCTCATCCCATATTGGAACTAGATTCCCTCCTTCCCTGAAATATAATACAATTTTATTATTTGTACGCCGCTCATCTGACTGGGTTTCCAGTCTCATTCACCATGACCCTGGGAGTGGGATATCACTATCATGTCTCTGAAGGCCTCATCCACCAACCTCTCTGCCTTTGGCCTCAAAAGAACAAAAAATGAGGCGCTCATTGTACCGAGCACACACCCAGAGTTTCTGTCCGGCAGACAGATAGTCATACATGTAACATTCTGTACAATACACTGGATAGCCCCCACACTCCTGCTGGATTTCCACCTGCATACCTGAAGTCCTAAAACAAATGCTTATAAGAATAGCTGATTTACTGAGGCTTACCCTTATCAAAGCTTGCATTTGAACCTCTGTTCAGAAGGATTTGCATGAGTTCCACATTTGAGACACTTGCAGCATACATCAGAGGAGTCCATCCAAACTTAAAAGTAGAATCCACACTTACACCTGCAATGATTTTATATATGCAAGAGTATACACAGTTAATAAAAGAGAGACTCATACATTGTACTACTCTCTTCAGAGACTTTAGATACAAATTCCAGAGCTCGGCAAAAGTTATCTAGCCATTCAGTATGCAGTCTTTAGCTGCAGAGAAAAATGGCAGTAGAGGTGGTTGAAATACCTGTTGGAGCAGGGAAACTACTCTGAAGAATATCTGGCCCCAATATTTTGCCTTTCCTAATACTATTATCAAGAAGGCTGGGGAAAAGGCTTTATGTATTAGAACCTGTGCCCTCTCTCACATTTTGCTGGACTACAACTCTCTTCAACCCTGACCACTAGCAATGCTGGCTAGGGTTGGTGGGACCTGGAGAACAACAATTGGAGGGCTACAGGTTCCCCATCCCTGTTATGCATCATTATCTACTCTACTGTCTTAGAACGCTACCCTTTGCCCAGAGCATTAGCAGCAAGTACACCTGACAAAAGCTCAGGTGAGAGTGCCCCCAGGATCTTACCTTACCCATCTCTGCTATTGCAAGTATGAAAACGAAGTCACATTTTTATATCACTGGCAGCACTTGGTATTCTAGATCTCTCAAGGTGTTATTAAAATTCAACTCATCAGATTACATTGCCTGGCACAATAGAATCTGAGACATTGTCTGGATTCTGCCACCAGCCAGGTGATCTGGGCAGCACATCCTGTCTCCTACGAGGATCACCATGGTAAGGGGGAGATCATTCTGGCCGCACCAATCAGTTAATGTAGAAGAACCTCCTCCAATGCTAGCTTTCTTCCATCCATTCCTTTTTGTATTGTGCATTTACACTGTGACTGTGGAAGCAGACAATCTCTTATTTTTTATTTACTCATTTATAATCACTTAGAAAATTAGAGATACTTTATAAATGTTAAATACTAATTACCTGCAAGAACCAGCAAAAATAACACTTTAGCCACGTGGAATCCTCCACATACAACTTAACACAAAAAAATCCTTAAATCACTTTTACTAAGGGGTTTAGGTACAGAGATCTATAGCTATTTTCTCTAGCTCATCCTTGTATCTCTATTCTAATTCCATGAAGGTGAGCACAAGGGGCACAGGTGACAGACCCTGTCTCTCCTCATCAAACCTCCCTGGTTTCCAGGATGACCATGCAAGAAGCAATATGCCCACCTCCATGGCTAGCACAGAAATGAAGCAGACCAGCAGAGGCAAAACTCTTTTGTCCCTCATCTATCAGCCCGCTTAGTAGAACGCAATTAGATAGACAGGTAAGACAGATAAATCATGGAAGCAACTTTTCTAGTTTGATATACAAGGTGATTCTAAACCAGCTTTCTTCAACCTTTGGTCCCCAGATGTAGTAGTTAGACTACAATTCCTATCAACCCTGACCATTATTGCTCAGCCAGTTGGGAATAACGGGCACTGTTCTTTGACAACATCTGAGGACCAACAGCTGAAGAACTTCAGCTTTTTCAGACCAGAGACCCACCTGTAACCCAATGTGCATTTGGGGATTTGTTTGGTGGCAGTGCTGCTTCTGTGAGTCACATTAGGTCAGGCTAAGGCTCAGTACTGGGTCTTGACCCACTAGTTGAGGACTAGTGCCCTAGGCCACTTGCACATAGTCATATGCACTCATATTTCACAATCATTTGGACAATCACTAGAAAGTTGCTGAGCTCCTTGAGAACCTTTGCTCTCTTCATGTTATTTCTACAAGCTAGTAGAAATAATAGTCATGTTCCAAAATGTACCAGCATCTTTTGTTTGACTAGCTAGGCTTTGACGCTATGAAGAAAATGGTCCACAAATAAAGCTTGAAGTCAGCATAGAAGAGGAGAAAGTTATGTAATCACTTTATCTTCTCTTATTGGACTAAGAGTATTTATTGGCTGAGAAGTCATTATTTACAGGAAAGCTGCTATTTTTATGGATAGAAAGCTCTCAAGTTGAAAAGGTGAAGTAATACCTTAGGAGATTAAGATAAAGTTCCATGAAAAAACTCTTATCTTAGAATATTTCAACATTTTTGACACTTGGGAAGAAGTATGATAACAGGTTAATACATCATTCCTAACTTATGTTGCAATACCCCAGAATTACTGGATTCAGTCATTAGCAATTCAGAATTACAAAGACTTCTCAGCATTTGCTGGTGTGTTAATTTCTACAATGTAATCTTGGTTCACAATAAATAAAACTCACATTGCCATATCAACAGCAATCATGCCCCAGTATTTTTTAAATTTTTGTGGGGCTTTTTCTTCAAAAACCGGGTAACTTGGTAAAATCAGTACTTGATACTGTTACAGTCCAGTTCTATGCATATCTATTCAGAAATAAGTCCCAAACAAGCAGGCATAGACTGCAGCCTATTCAAGACAAAGGGGGAGATAAAGAGAAAGCAAGAAACTGACTACATTTTGAAAATGTATTTAAATATATGAGTAGCAGTAATAACATTTTTGGAAATTCTATAAATCTATTTTACTATAGGATTTACCTTATAGTAAAAACAACTTCTCAGAAAACCTTTCAAAATCTATTTTATATATACACATCAAATTAAAACAGACAATCCATTAATCTTACCTGAATTTAAAAGCTCTTCAATAGCAGGCAAGTTTCCAGCCAGCAATGCTTTCTTCAATGCTTCATCTTTGTCATTTGACTGCAATATGTCATCCAGTTGCTAAACAGGAAAATTACTACATTGGTTTACTGATTAAATATTTAGTTATTTTACACTTATATTCAACCTTTTTTCCAAAGTTCTCCCTACAAGAAGTTCAAGGCTGCACACAATATTCATTAAATTTCTATACAGTGGATGCTCGGGTTGCGAACGTGATCAGTGCGGGATGCACATTCGCAAACTGCAGTGTTAGCAACCCACAGTGGCGTGTCTGCGCATGCGCAAAGATCGATTAGGCGCCTCTGCGCATGCGTGGCCACTGAAACCCGGAAGTAACCTGTTTCAATACTTCCAGGTTTTAGCAGGTGTGTAACCCGAGAAAATGCAACCTGAAGTGGCTGTAACCCGAGGTATGACTGTACTGCCCTTCATCTGAGGATAACAGGGTGGTTTACAATATAATACATTCTCCCTACTACTACCATTTTATTCTCACAGTCCACCTTGGAGGCTTATTAAATGGAATTACGTGACACATCAGAAGCAAATAAATGTGAAAAATGTAAAGTGCACCCACCCTGTTGAATTGTGTCACAGCATCCATTCCTACTTTTCTTGCCAACTGTACAGTCATACCTCAGGTTGAAGTTGCTTCAGGTTGAGCGTTTTCGGGTTGCGCTCTGTGCCGACCTGGAAGTAATGGAACGCTCACACATACGCTCAAAATGACGTCACACGCATGTGCAGAAGCGGCAAATCACAACCTGCGAAAGCATGGGTGGCGTTTGCTTCAGGATGTAAACAGGCCTCCGGAAGGGATCCTGTTCGCATCCAGAGGTACCAGTGTACTATATTCTGTGACTCTTGGTTTACGATTCCTCTATTCTTATAATTTGAAAATCAAATTAAAATGACTTTTTTTTTCCTTTTTTTGTAAAGCACACCTGGCTCTACTCCAAATTTCAAAGAGCAGCACACTACACCTTGGAGGCTTATTAAATGGAATTGCCTCGACACAACTGAAGCAAATAAATGAGAAATATAAAGGGCACTCTGTTGATTGTGTTGTGGCACCCATTTCCCCACTTTTCTCGACAGCTGTATTCTGTATCTTTTGCTTTATGATTCCTCTATTGTAGCCCATGGGCGTAGCTAGGATTTGGGGGGGGGGCAGCAAAAAGTTGTGGGAGGTCACATTTAAAAAGTTTTTTGGGAAGGTCGCGGATGTTTCCTTTAATATGTAAAAAAAAAAAAAGACTTTGGTTGGGGCGGGGCAGGCTTTATTATTTTATTATTATTTATTTATTGAATTTATACACCGCTCTATACCCAGAAGTCTCTGCTGAGGGGGCAGGGACAGAACCCCAACTTGTTAAGTGTTTCTATTGCTTTTTAATACTTTTGGAGGATTTAAGGGGCCACGCCCATGTTCTAGCCTCTGTTACTTATATTTTGAAAATCCAATAAAACCCATTTTTTTAAAAAAAATGTAATATCCACCTGGCCCTATGTACTCCGAATTGCAACTGCTTGTGACCCGCCCCCCGCCCCCCCAAAATAACACCGTGGCAAACTCTGGGCGCTCAAAATATATGCCCTCGGCCGCGAAACTCTCCACACAACCTACCTCACGGGGCTCTTGTGCGAGTTACAAAGGGGGGCAAAAAAAAAAAAGGGCTCTGCCTCGAGGGCTTCAGGTCACAAAACACCCGAATATAATAAAATGACTGTACGAGGGACGCAAGGGAACCGACCCCAAAGGGCCTTTTGAGTAGGAAATTGTGCCTCCTGGAAGCGCCTCAGGCCCAGGCCTTCCTTACGTGCTTCTGACGCGCCGCCTCGACGGACCCGACGACCCAGCCGTCGTCGTCGCTCTCGCTGCTCTCTTCTCCGGCTGGCACCGCGAGGGAGAAAACGCCGCTAGCCATCCTTCCTCCGCCGCCGCCTCCTCTCACGCGCCGTTAAAAAATAATGCGGGTTTCTGTTTTTCAAATCCCCACGCCACCCTCTAACGCGCAGGCGCAGAAGGTCGGGGACGCAGGGCAGCAACCGCATATGAAAGCGGGAAAGTTGAAACGCCCAGAGAGCACGAGGGACGGTTGGCGCAGTCCATCTTGGGGGGGGGAGGGTTGCCTCCTGTTGAAATGGTGAATTTATTCTAGAATGTTAAAGTACTAAACGCCCCCCGGGCGTTCAAGTGGTACATCAAGGGTTTCGTTTTTTTGGGGTGGGGGGGTGGGGAGTGGCCAGAACCTAGCACCAGGTTTTTGTGGTAAAATTATTATTATTATTATTATTCATTTGGTTTTACCCCGCCTCTTCCCCTTATGGGACTCAAGGCGTCTTATAGATGAAAAAAACAAAACAAGAATCACAACACATAGAGAGGGAAAAACATATAAACCATTAAAAACAATGAAACATGAACAGAATTAAAACTGTACATATAAAAAAGCAATGAGCTGCTGCCCTGATGCGGTGCAAGCTGTGAAATGAAGACGTGCATGAGTTGTCCTAGAATCTACTCCTAGTGGATTTATCCTTCATAGTAACTGGAGTATTGCTGTTTTTTGTTTTTTGTTTTTTTACTGTGTGTACCCTAAAAGTAATTAATTGCCATTGGGGCTCAGTGGGATATAGCCTTTAACTGTTCTTACCTGGGAGTAAGCCTCATTGAATTACATGGGACTTTCTTCCAAGTAGGCAAGGTTAGCATTGCAGCGTGTGTGGTAAGCTTGGGTAGAACTGTTAAGGACTGGAAGTTTCTTAGACTTTTCACATGAAAGAGGAAATGAACTTGAAATATCGGGATTTGAAGATTGAAAAAATACTGGTTTATAGAATGGTTGGATTTTAAGGAATGAATATCACATGTAGCTGCAGGACAGGGAGATGGAAGCCCTTTTATCCTTTTCTATCTTTAGTTTTTTCTTTTTCTTTCTTTTTCTTCGGGTCTCTCCTTTTCTTGTCTTTTCTTCTTTCTGAATTCGTTCTTTTTTAGACTAAATAGTTGTTTAAGTATGTTATAAAAATATCCTTTGTCATGGGTATGTATTTTATATATCTATGAATAAGTATCAACAAATAAGGTAATGAAAAAGGAAGCAAGTGCTACTGAACTATGTGGGATTTACTTTTAAGTATATAGGCCCATGAAAATTAGCTAGGATTGTCTGAAGTTCCTTCTTATTTCTGTGCAGCTTAAATGGCAGTCCTATACATGTTTACTCAGTAGGTCCTTATATGAAGTTTTAAAACACACACACACACACACACACACACACCCCAAAGCAGTTTTACAGAGCCTCTCTGACCCGCCACCAGCTCACAGAAGCCAGTGGCAGGATGGGGGCTGTGTTAAAGTGCTTCCCCTTCCCCAGCCGAGAGAGTCCTGCACCTGCTCCTGCTTGCACAAGAGTAGGAGCAGGAGCAGGGCTGCTCAGCTGGCAAGCCGAAGCCCTCCCTTCCCAGCTGAGACAACCCCACAGGTAGGAGCATACAAATAGGAGCGAGATTGGGGCTGCTCAGCTGCCCCAAGTCTTCTTGTTCTCAGTTCAGCTTTATCTGCAAGACTTCATATTGGCCAGTAATATGGGGGGGGGGGGGAGAGAGAGAGAGAGAGAGGAAATGGACTGCCTTGATAAATGGCTATGATTCTTGTGCATTCAAAACGTACCATAGCGTATTTCAAAATGTTCAGCTCACTACTCTTAACATGGATAAAAGGGAAAAGATGCATACTGGGTGCAGTATGCAAGATGAATTCATCTTGTCTATTTGCAGAGAGGCATTAAAATATTTACATTATTTTCTTGTTTCTGAAAGAAAACTTATCAGCTCTGCTGTTCCCTATCCTTGTGCTGTTCATAATGAGCCCTGCAGTGATTTTCACCCCTGCATAGTAGCAACTAATTTAGAACATGCTAATAGGTATGAACAGTTCCAATTGTTCCTTTAGCACTTGCAGAGGAAGATGTAAATAAACATTAAAAACAAAAACAAAACACCAGACAGCTTCCAGTGCTAGTTAGATCCAAAGCAGGAATTCACCTTGAAGGTACAAATGACATTTTTATCCTTTCACAGCATTTCTGCCAGGTGCAGAAATAGAATCATAGAACTGTAGAGCTGGAAGGGACTACAAGGATCATTTAGTCCAGCCCCCTGCAATGCAGGAATCTTTTGTCCAGTGTGGGGTTCAAACCCACAACCCTGAAATTAAGAACCTCATACCAACTATGCCATCCCAGCTATAGTCTCTTAAAATGACCCAAAGTAAATTACAGTAAATTTGTACTCAGCCATCCTTACAACAGCACAGTACTGCAAGACCTCAATTTTATTTGCTGTATAGATCATTCTCTCCTGGTAAGAAATGGTGGAGTGAATGTAAATTAAATTGTGTCCTCCCTAAAAGAGGGCACGTGCTGCAGTGAGACCTGGAGACCCATTTCCTGTGTTGTGGGTGGGTGAGAAGGGACAGCCACAACACCAGATTGGCAGGTCCCTCGTTGTTGGCCAATGGGGTGCAGTCCAAATGGATCGAGGGACCTATGTGTGTGTGTGTGTGTGTGTGTGTGTGTGTGTGTGTGTATATATACTACGAAAGCAAATATATATATATATATATATACACACAAACACACACACCCATGCACGTGACCCAGAGCTTCCTCTTTCTGTGCGTGCATTTGGAACACCCGCCCACCTCTCCCTATTTTTAGGGCATTTTGCGATTGACCTTGCTATGCTGTCGTGTGTCGCCTGTCGTTGGGACAGGGGCACAGCAGGAATTTCCCCGCTTGGCTGATTGGCTGTTGCCATTTGGGTTTCGCCTGCCGCATAGCAAATCATCACAACTTGCAAGGTTGCGGATAGGCACTGGTTCAGGTGATAGGGATGGGAGAATAGTCTTGCCATCCCTATCTGAAGGGTATTCCGTTAAAGGAATCCAGGGACTCAACTGGTTTGGTCAACCTCCAAGAGGGGGTTGTGCCCCTGCCTGAGTCCAGGGGGGCATCTGGGTGGTGAACATAGTCTGTTCCTGGCTTTTCACCTACCCAGGTGTTCACCCTTGGCTGACCTATGCTGGTGCCTTGGGTCAGCGCTGCCTGCAAGGGTGCAGGGAGCTAGTCGAACCAGAGCCTATGCAACCACTCACCTTCTGTAATCAATAAAGTTGTGGCCTAAATTCTGCCAAAAACCAAACTAAAATTTGAGTCAAGTGTGTCTTTATTTAGGGGGGAGGTCTCTGGGTCTGAACACGCAAATGTTGACAGTGTTTATGGGCAAGGCAAAACTGGTTTTCAGTTTATGTGGATCCTTGCGGGACCCTTCCTGAAAACCAAACCCACGCCCTTCCATCTTAATCGCTCACCACACAGATTTTTCAGGTAGCCACTCAATACTGTTGAAGAATGAATCTGCAATCCTTTATCCACTTAACCTAGACACAGTGGAGCTTCTCCACAAACATGCATATGATTGTATGGTTAAGACACGGTTCTGAAATTTAAAAAGCATATGCAGGATAGCCAGTATTAACTCTTTACCCTAATCTGCATCTGTAATGTAACTATTTTAACTCTTTCTATGTGGAATTGTTTTAAATCGTTTTATATATGGATCTGTTTCTGATTGGTTTTTTTAATGCTTTTCTTGTTTTATGGTTTCAGGTGTTTTATTTGTTTTATAACTTTGTGCTTTATTGTTGTAACCTGCCCTGGGACCTAGGGTAAATGGCAGGTAAGAAATCTAAAAAACTGGAGGAAATAATAATACCTGCATCTTCAGGAACTTGTGACCTTTCCTAGCCCACATGTTGTTTTACACAGGGTCTCCCAAGTCGTCGTGACTAGCAAAAGGTGGTTGTGGCATTGGGAATACTGTCATTTATATACACATCTACAGAGAGAAAGAGATGGAGAGATTTTGCAAGGTATTACAAGCTATACCCATCATCGCTTATGTTTGCAATACTCTAGCTTCTTGTCTGATTAACAGAGGTATGTGCACATCAGGGGAACTTAGCTTCAAGTTGCTGCTGGGTCAGGGATCTGTCCAAACACTGCATGAAAATGGGCTTATAGAGGGAAAACTTAATTGTTACAAGGTTGTGCAGGCCCAATACATTTTGTTGTCTGAAGTGGAGCTCAAGCATTGCTACCTGTCCATTGTCCAGTTAGGGCAGGAAAACATAGGATTGTATAATTCCCTGCAATGCAAGAATCTTTTGCCCAATGTGGGGCTCAAACCCATGACCTCAAGATTAAGGGTACACCATTCAGACATCCATTCTTCTGTCTGCACTCTGTACTCTCACACAATACTGCCTGGCACCATCAGTCCACCCAACAATTTTCTCTCACATCAGTGTCTCTCCCTTTGTTGTGGTTGATCTGTTATGTTTCTTGTTGCAATGCACCTGCTCTTTGCTTTTGTGGGGGGGGGTGCACTGTGATCCAGGTATTTTATTTTATATTGCCTACTGACAGGGAGTGGAATTAATTGGCCTGTTTGGTCTCCTCATAGTCTATGCTTCCACACCATTGTGGTACCTCTGGTTAGGAACTTAATTTGTTCTGGAGGTCCGTTCTTAACCTGCAACTGTTCTTAACCTGAGGTACCACTTTAGCTAATGGGGCTTCCCGCTGCCGCCACAGCGCCACCACACGATTTCTGTTCTCATCCTGAGGTAAAGTTCTCAACCCGAGGTACTGCTTCCGGGTTAGCAGAGTCTGTAACCCAAAGTGTTTGTAACCCGAGGTACCACTGTATAATCAGTTGCTGAAATCTGATCATGAAATCATGGCCGTGCATATTCCTCAAGCAGAGGAATTACTATTTCAGCCAGTGGCCTGAAGCTCAGTAGGCAAGTTGTCTCAGAAAGGAATTTTTAGGGCACAGAATCAGGTCCTGTACACACCAACACTTCCTTGCTTATTACCTGTATTAATCACTCAGTGCTGTGAATTTCTACAATGGTATAGATATTATATTACTATTTACAGTCTTTCTTAAGTACAGAGATGCCAATCTATATATTGACCCAAAAAGAGATTGTATTCTTTAAGAACTTTTAAAACGGTCTACAAATAATTAAACACTCTTTCTT